ATTTTTAAACTTATCATTGTCCGATCTCATTTTATCATAAATTTTAAGCCTTTGTTTAAATTCAGATATTGTTTCGCAACCATATAGTATAGTTTTCCTAACCACAGAATCGGGAATACCATCAATAACATATTTAATTAATGAAGCATCTTCAATGTTACCTCGCGAACACATTTCTTTCATTTTCAAAAAATACTCATCTAAAGATTCATTAGGCATTAATTTACGTTTACATAACATTTCATGCAACTCAGCAGAATTAAAAGCTTTACCATATTCAGATTTCAAAAGCTTTTTTAACTTACACCAGTCATTAACTTTAGGTTCACTCTGAATAAATAGTTTCGCTTTACCTTTTAATGATCTTTTAGCAAAAACTAATTTATGCAAATCACTTAATTTCAAAGAATTTATAACATCTTCAAATTCATCAATCCATTTATCAACATTTTTATATGCATTACCAGAAAAAGGATTAACTATACTTTCAATATCCAAAAAACTAAGATGAGGTTTAAAATGATCTTGAATTGGAAGCTGCATACTGTTATTTACTTGAGACTCATTAAAACCAGGATTGTCTCTTTGATTATCATCAAGCATTACTTCAGAAATTTTATTAATAGTTTCATCTTCAATATCACTATTTTCTTCATGCAAAATATTTTCAAATAATACAGATAAATCACATAGGAAAGAGACAATTCGGGTTACGACTTCCGTTTTTAAACCTTCTGAATTTATGCACAATACATTGCAAACTTTAATTAACTCATTCAAAGTAAAACTATTCTGCACTGTATCTATTTTCTTATTAAATTCTTCAGAATCTGGTTTAAATATAAAGCCAGAAAATTCACGTAATCTTTTCCGGTTATTTCGATCTCCATCAGTATTAAAAATAAGCTTATGCAAACTTTTGATTTCAGAACTTTTACTGTTCTTTAAAGCTGCTTCCAATTCTGGAATTTCTACTAACTTCATATTGGAAAGAAAGTTTTGTACTCACCCGACAGATGATCGTCGTCAATTGGGTAATCCACGCTTTATACGAGTAATCCAATAAACTGTGACAACAGTTTCCTCAGTTCACAGTTCAAAGCACAGTTCTACTACTCGCACATTTTGGAATTCGAGGCCGCACGGTTGGTCGCCATATTTTTTTGTAGAATTTGACTTAATTCACAGCATGAGAGCACGAAGTAATATTTAAATGGTTTATTTAATAGAAAGAAATAAAAGTAAATAAAGATGAAGTTAACGGTATGCAGGATTAACATAATGATGTAGTCCTTTTACACCTAAAGGCATAACATCAAAAGCACAATCTAAATTCATAAACCCTTGAAGACGTGTGAGCCGTCTGCTCACGTCTGCCCTCCGCTCTCGACCAGGTCTCAGCGCTGTCTGGGATGATTCTTACTGCGCTGGGTGATACTGTACTGATGACCTCATAATCCTGGTATTCTAATTCAGCATTGGACGTTGATGACTCCCACATATATACTTATAGTTTAACTATGACTTCTAATAAACTGCAATATTATTTTAATGCAGTAGTTATTTGTTGGGGATTAATGTATTAAGAAATTTCAGCTGCATATTTCTGAAACATATGCTATTCTATTGTACTTACAATTTTCAGCACTGTTGTGTTACATAAGAAGTTTAAAATCCCAAAGACAGATTTCTTAATGTACATAAAATGGGTCAAAATTCATTAATAATTATAATGATTACTTTATATGATTCGTAATGGGAAGCTTATATAGATTTTTGGCATATTTTTATCCAAGAACTATACCAAATAAAAATGTTTGTTTTATTAAAAAGTTTTTATTAGTATAAGTTGTTTTCTCATGCATGAAATATAAAATATGTTTTGCAATAAATGAAAAAAAGTTATACAGTACAATGTCCGAAATCCGGACTTGTCGGGACTTTGGCAATTCCGGATTCGGATTTTTCCAGATAATATATCATCAGTGTAAATCTAGTAAGATGACATGCAGGTATAAAATTAAAAAATATGAAATCACAATTTATGAAATAATGAAGTATTTATGATCTAAATGGAATCTTTGGTTCTATGAGTATCATCAACAAAATCTATTTTTAGCATATGGAAAGAATTTTTTGGTAAATTTTTCCTCGTCAACATTTTTTAGCACAACTGAAATCTGTAATCATTGCCAAGCGTAATGTCAACATAAAAGGTTACCACACTCCTTTATTATTCAAATACTAACATAAAAAGATTGTTTAGATATTGCTACATGAGTCATTATTCAAGTTGTCATGTTTTAATGAACATACGGTAATGAAAGTATAATAAATAATGATTCGCCAGGTTGGCGTCAGATCAACGATGTATCTATGTGGAATGTTTCGGTTTTAGATGCGTGCCAAGCAAATACGCAGCAAAGGAGACAGTTTACTGATCGTACAAATTTATGCTAAAATGATTGTTTCTTCAATACAAGGTATTTTATTTAGTTTCAAAGTGAAATTAAGAATTGGGACTCTCCACATGTTTTATTATGCATGGAGGGAGAAATTAAATGTGCATGCGTAAAGCCTATGAGAAAAATTTTGTTGGTGGTTTTGAGGTCCGGATAATGGACGTCCGAATTTCGGACTTTGTACTGTATAAAAGTCGCTTTATTGAAATGATCTATAAAGTATTCATGTATATCCTCTATTACTGGTAAAATGTCAGTGGAGGGAAAAAAAGGATGAGGAATTATATTTTCTCATGGTATATTTTGCATTAAAATATTCTTACCTATCATGTCAAAAATATTTTTATGTGATTCTACATATTTTGAAAACTTTGTTACTGAAATTTCAGTAAACCAATATAATATTAGGAACATTTGTTTAATTTGACAGCAATTAAAAAAAAAAAAAAAAACAGGAAAGAGCGTAATCTGTATTATAATTAGCAAAGTATTATTAGCAGTTTTCTTGTATTTTTAACTAGTTTAATTTGCGGAATTCATTTTCCTTATCCAAATTAGATTAACATTCAAAACAAAAAGAGCAATATTTTAGTTTATGTCATTCTTGTGTTTTGATAAAGGTTAATGAGAATCAGAAAATTATCTACTTAGTTGAATTTTATGGTTTAGCAATTTATTTTTACAGATGATTTAACAGTGCTTATATATTCCAGATTATGTACAATTAAATTACATACTGTTGTTGATAATACCTAAATACTGTGATATCATCCACTATGTTTTGCTATCATTTTCTCCTATTGTATTTCTGGTATAAATTTTGCGATATTCTGATGATTTATGATAGTAATTTTTCCACAATAAATTTGACTTTTTTTTTAAATTATTATTTGACAATAAACAGATTTGATTGTTTGTTGTGGATTTATTCCATAATAAACAATTTTGATAATATTATCCTGTTGCAAATAAATCGGACTTTGAAAAATCCAGGTAATTGTTAACTCTATACGTTTAATATTAATACACTGACTACCAATAAGTATTTGGACACCTGTGATAGAAAAGAAAAACTAACTTTATTCAAAATCAATAGTTGGTAGAGCCTCCACGAGAAGTAATTACAGCGTGGACCCTCCGGGGCATACTTCCCACAAGTCTTTGTATGACAGCTAGTGGTATTTTCTTCCACTCGTCTTAGAGAAGACATAGAAGTTCCTTCACCGATTTCATATATGGGTAGTGCACCCCTGAATTCGGCGATGCAAATCATCCCAGAGGTTCTCGATAGGGTTTAGGTCTGGACTCTGGGCAGGCCAGTCTATTCGATGAACTCCATTGGCACCATACCAAGCCTTGGTTAACGTCGAAACATGGCATTGTCGTCCTGAAAGTAACAGGAGTCCAACCCGTAAAACTGCCACAATGTAGGAAGCACATTGTCATCCAAAAACAGTGCAGTAGGTATCGGAGTTGAGCTTACCATGAATGGGGACCAAGGGCCTCAGCCCATACCAGGAGAAACACCCCCAGACCATAATTCCACCTCCGCCGAACTTGACTGTTGGCACAATGCATTCTGGCAGGAGACGTTCTCCAGGTAGACGCCAGACCCAGACCCTGCCATCCGAACGGTAAAGAGTGAACTTTGATTCGTCACTCCAAAGAACCCGTTTCCACTGATCTATGGTCCGATTACGATGTGCTTTGCACCACATTAACCGAGCAGAGCAGTTGGACTTTGTGATCAAAGACTTATGGGCAGCAGCACGACCATGAAAAACAAGCAGATGTGCTTCCTTACCGATGGTATTCATTGAAACAATACTCCCGGATGCCTGTTGAAACTCCTCGGGGATGAGGGCCATCGGTTGGGTGCGGTTCTTCCGAATTTCTCTGGACAGCACTCGTCGGTCTCTATCTCCCAGTTTCGTTGGTCTGCCGACTCGGGGCACATTCCGACAATCACCACTCACCTTCCACTTCTTAATCACATAGGCTACTGTCGATTTTGGGTACTTCAGATCGCTAGATGTGTCCCTTAAGGATCGGCCACATTTGTGATACCCAATAATTATACCTTTCTCGAAATCAGAGAGCTCCGAACTGCAAGGCATCTTGCATGCAACTAAAGCCGATGCTGTTTCTTACACGATATATACCGGCAAAGTCCGTGACGTACCTTAGGACCGCAGATATCGTCATTTGCATAGGTGTCCAAATACTTATTGGTAGTCAGTGTATTTAAGGAAGCAGAAACTTATAACTACCCCTTTTGAATGTATGTATATATTTTTTTATTTTTCTAAGCTCCGCTATATTAAACTGAATAGAGTAGTGGACTTTAGTGAATTTGTAAATAATCTAGATCTTTTTTGCTTTATTTCTACTTTTATATATTTTGGTGAAATTTTAATAATTATTTCATAGAATTACATGTATGAAAATTTTGGTTAAAAATGTTAGTATTTGTAAATTATGTTGTGTGGGGAGTATTTAATCTTTTCTAATATGTTGCTTTTTCCTCCCTCCCCAAAGGATATAAATGGTTGCTGCTGTATTAATCCAGAAAGATTGACTAAACGTTCTGCTGGTGGAACTTTTGCAAGAATGAAAATTAAAAAAGTAGATGCAGAAAGTTATGATGGTTCAATCACAGATTCTTTGCTGGTGGAAATAGTTAAGATATAGTTTTTTAAAATAATTAAATTAATTTGTACATATAAATTGTCTCATTTTTGTTATTTTGAGAAAAAAAATCAGTAATTCTGTTTACATTTCCTCGCTTAGCACTTTTTGTCATTTTTCATGAAGTTAATATGGAATTATTTAAATGTAAATATTTCAAATATGTTAAGAATGATTCAAAGCTATTTAAATAGTATTTGCTGGAACTGTGATTAAAATAATGTGTCTGTTTTTATTTCAAGTTTTAAAGCATTGTATCATGGTATAAAAAATACATATTTTTTTTAATTGCTTTTCAATTATTTTTCTAGTTAGTTCTTTCCATAATTAGGGAATCAACGAACAATTTTCTACAAGTATGATTAGGCCAACTATTTGGCACTGTTACAATGCCTTCTAGCCTCTTTAATGAAATGCTCCATGAACCATTCAGTCATAAGTTGTTTTGTGAACCAAGAATTTTTATTACTCCTGTAAATCACAGGTAAGGATTTTACTCCTTTCAGAGCTCTGGGATTGGTGCTCTTACCCACTACCACTGGTTTACATTTGTAAGTTCCAGCTGCATTGTTGCATACTAAAATGGTAACTCTTTTCTTTAGCTTCTTTCACCCCTGACGGTGCACTTTCTTCGCTTGTCACAAATGTGTTTTTTGGCAAACATCGCCAAAAAGTCCAGTCTCGTCCATATTAAACCCTGTTCTGGGCTAAGATTTTCTTCAGCCACTAACACAGAAAACTCATCAATAAACTCCTCTGCAGCATCTTTATCTGCTGAAAGTTTTTCCCCACATGCTTTCAGATAACGTATACCGTGTCTCTGTTTAAATCTGTTCAGCCAACCACTGCTGAAATTGCACAGCTCCTCTATTTTTAAATCAGCATGAATCTGCTTCGCCTTTTCTCTCAGGAACGGTCCTGAAATCGGTACTCCATCACTCCGCCGCTGCCGGAAGCACTCGTACAAGACAGCATCAAGGTTTGCCGATTTCACCTCGTGCAAAGATTTCTGATGTTAGAATCACTGTTGCTGTAAAATTTCAACAGTTTTTCTTTATTTTTCCGTATATCGTACACAGTCTGTGTCGCTATTCCATATGATTCTGCTATAAAGTGAGGAGTAGCACTTGTCTCCATCTTTTACAGAATTTCCACTTTTTGCATTACCGTCAATTCAATGTGTTTACGTTTTTCAATGTTGCAAACAGTAAAGGCATGAGTGCATTTCTTATCTGTCATTGTATTAACAAGTGCTGATATTTAAAATATTCTAAATTGATCCACAAAATATCCGGATTAAAAAAAAATGGCAGCACTAAACAATTTCGTGAAGTAACAAAGTTCAGAAAGTACAACAACATGAATCGTGAACTTGAAAGAAGAGTTGAGTGAATTATCTGCTTCTTTACCTCGATGCAGATTTCAGGGGAAAAACACTTTTATTTTATCATAATGTCAATAATTTGCTATTTTTGTTATGACTCATTATTATTCGGTAATTATGATGTCATTATTCGGTAAGTATTTTTTTTCCAATATTTCGTACTCCATGTTGTGGTTTCCTGGAACCTATAAACTTAATGTTTACATTTTGAGAGGCAACGCGGATTTCAGGTCGGCGGATTTTCGGGATTTGACTATAGTTGCAGTATGCGACTTTATTGGAAAAGGTAAAGATTATGACAATGCAACATGAAAAATATGCGAAATGAGATAAAAGTTTTTTTATATACTATATTTGTAACTTGTATCAGTTGGTTATCTAAATAAAGAGTAATCATTTCTTCCAAACTTCTGCCAAAATCACGGGATTTCTGTAAAATTTCAAATTTCATTGTTGGTTTAGATGTTTTGCTTTCATATGTTTAAAACCCATGAAAATACATCAACTTTTATGTCTGAATTCCCCCCCCTAAAAATCTTAGGTTATGTTAAATGTAAGTATTTGATATTCAAGCTGATTTTTAAAAAAATTCACTGTTTATATAATTTTAGATCAGAAATTTCTTCTATTCATTTGGCTTTTCTACCTAGAATTGCATTCTTTTATGTGCTCAACTATCTGCAATATTCATTGATTTGGAATTCAGCATTTTCTGAGGTTTAACTCTAATTGCACAATAGCTGCTAGATAGGATAGTGGTTACTACCATACCGAAGAGCCCAGGCTAGAATACCGGAGAAAGCATGGATATTTTTAAGCATAAAGTATCTGTGTAGCAAGAGGGCGCTCAAAATACATGGCAAACGAAATCCTCTCAAGAGATTGTGGTAGGGAATGAGGGCTGGGAGATTACCACACTACACTGTAGGTTTTCTATCTTGGAATTCCAACCCAGGGCAGAAACTTAATTGAGACTTTTAAGACTTCAACATTTGTTTGAATTAATAAGAATATTTCCAAAAATGAAGATGATACCTAAATTTCAAGCATCAGCATAATTAAAAAACGATCATATGTGTCTCAGAGTCAATTGCCAGCTCCTTAGCAGAAAAAAAAAGGGAAAAAAAAAAATTGCTTTCCTGACTTATGACATTTTCAAATACTATACTGTTTATAAATATTAATGGAAAGAAGCATTTTACAAGTAACAAGAAATTTTATGAGAACATTTTATTGCTGATATTTGCATTGTTATTGCAGTTCTGCCAAATAACTTCAGTAAGATAATTGGGAAAGTGATGTTGATCTCTTTCTCTGTGTTTCTTGTGTATTATGCACGCATTTGTGGGCTGTTGTTGCATTATACTTGAAAAATACGAAAAATATTTTCTGTCATATGTTGAAACTATAAGTGCAGGTAACCAAAAAATACTTTATCAAATTACAGTTATCTCTGGAAAATGTCGATTATAGCTGTTCAAGTCTGATATAATCAGATTTATTTCAATAAATGCTGAGGGAATATTTTTGAAATGTAAAAAAGTAACTATCAAACTGACTAGCCCCCCTCCCAAAAAAAATATGATACAAATATATAAAATCTATATATATACAGTCAAAAGTCTTTAATCCGGACTCGTCGGGACTTCGGCAATTCCGGATTATAGATCATCAGTTTAAATCTGGTAAGATGGCATGCAGAAATTATAAAATTAAAAATATGAAACCGTAATTTATAAAATAATGAGGAATTATGATCTAAAGGGTATCAAAATTTACAAAAAAAAAAAAAGAAGCTTAATATTTATTTGTTTACTTTATTAAACATTTCTTTCAACGCGCGCATGAGTAAAGCATACATTACGCATAGCTGAAATTAGAAAATTGCAACCAGAAAACTATTTGATTTGTATTCGTGATATTTATAATGACGAGGAATTTGATTTAAATCATATCAAAGACGGAGTACATCGAGATGAAATACTACATTTAGTAAGGAATTATAAGCCAAATAAAATAAAAACATCTGCCCTGAAGATAAGGATAGTGCTAGCAGATCAACTTCCAATTCATTGCTCACTGCGGCGTCCCCCCCCCACCGCAGAACAGCATGAAATTGATAAACAGATTTCGGAACGATTAGATAAACAAAGGATATGCCTTTATCCATTTTTTGCAGCAATTCCACTTTTTGTTTGATGGACATCGAACCATACTTTCGTTTTGTAGATCCTTTGGAAGTTCCAGCATCGGAAATTCTATTTGACATAATCGAAAGTTCAAGTTTACTTTTATAAAATTGCTCTTACAGTCTGCAAAAAATAATAAGCGGGATCCAATTCGAAGATTAAGGAACAATGCAATCATTAACATTAACTGAAATAGATAATTAGATAATTTTAGCTTATACCGTCTGTTATACATTAAACGCGCACGCGAAAACGTATTCTGCGCTTGCGCACATGCATATGCGCAGTCGTGAAGGTCTTGCGCGCACACGTAAATGCCTATGCACATACGTCAACACGGCGCATGCGCAGAAAGATTTTAGCTTTGAGATCCGGATTATGGGTGTCCGAATTAACGACTTTTGACTGCATATATATATCAGTCAATTTATTATTTGTTGTCATAAATTAAATATAAATTTGCCTTAAAATATGAAACATTTTTAAGATTAAATTTATTTGAAATATGCATTATGCTGTTGTAACATTTTCATAGCAAACTTCTGTTTCTAGTATTGTAAGTTGTTTGTGTTGGGAATCTTTGATTAAAACGTTCTGAAATGTTGATCGTTTTATCAAATCCAATGAAACACAGTTTTGTGTGGTTTTCAGAATTGGTTACTTTTTAGAATGTTTATTGCACTACTAGAACAACATTACAGGTATGTCCAGGGTTCATACGGTCTTTAAGAGCCTTTAAAAGTCCTTAGGTTTTTTTGGAATCGATTTTTGGTCCTTAATTTCAACAAAAATTGGCAGAAGGTCCTTAATTTTAATCATCTGAAATTTCTATCTATTTTTACGACTGCCATTTTTGAGTGTGAATTAATATTTCGGAAAATTTTTGGTGATTTTTAAGATCAGTTTTTATAGAAAATTTTTAATGCGGAGATGTGGGAATTTTTCGGCAGTTTTTTAAAATATTATAACATTGAAAATAATTAAAATAATGGTAATATATTGAAATTATATTTAAGAAATAACATTAAAATAAAGCATTTTTATTTTTTGCTGTCATACACTGACTACCAATAAGTATTTGGACACCTATGCAAATGACGATATAAACGGTCCTAAGGTACGTCACGGACTCCGCCGGTAAAAATCGTGTAAGAAACAGCATCGGCTTTAGTTGCATGCAAGATGCCTTGCAGTTCGGAGCTCTCTGATTTCGAGAAAGGTATAATTATCGGGTATCACAAATGTGGCCGATCCTTAAGGGACATATCTAACGATCTGAAGTACCCAAAATTGAGAGTGACATATGTGATTAAGAAGTGGAAAGTGAGTGGTAATTGTTGGAATGTGCCCTGAGTCGGCAGACCAACGAAACTGGGAGATACAGACTGACGAGTGCTGTCCAGAGAAATTCGGAAGAACCGCACCCAACCGATGGCCCTCATCCCCGAGGAGTTTCAACAGGCATCCGGGAGTATTGTTTCAATGAATACCATCGGTAAGGAAGCACATCTGCTTGTTTTTCATGGTCGTGCTGCTGCCCATAAGTCTTTGATCACAAAGTCCAACTGCTCTGCTCGGTTAATGTGGTGCAAAGCACATCGTAATCGGACCATAGATCAGTGGAAACGGGTTCTTTGGAGTGACGAATCAAAGTTCACTCTTTACCGTTCGGATGGCAGGGTCTGGGTCTGGCGTCTACCTGGAGAACGTCTCCT